TAGAGAAAGCTTCATTGCAAACTCTATATAAAATGTGGAGTTAGTTTTTCTTTTCTGATGCATTTTCAATGACTGGATCATTTTTCTTGATAAAACTTTATGTTGGCAATGGTATCTCTGAAATTATATATAAAAATGAAACAAGATACCAAGTATTCTATTGTAGACTTTCTAATCTGAAATAAATAATTCGATATTTGTAGAGATGTTATTATCATGTACAGATTTTCACATTTATGAAACTAGTGAAAATCCATTATTAAATCAGTAAAATAAAGTGAGTATTTTTTTAATATTTGGTGAATGAACAAATATACATATAAAAATTGTTTTTGATCAATTTCATCCCTAAAAAATATGTATGTCCATCCTCCTGTGTGTTTAACCTTTGTAAATGTCTGTTGTGGGTAATAATAAATGTTTCTGACCAAGTATTTGGGTTTATATTCCTAGGAAATTAGAATATTCATGAGATATATATAGGCCATACAGATGTCCCTGTGACATAAACAGGTCACGCTGACATCAAAAAAACAGGTGAAGAGATTACTTTTAGATTTGTTTGCTTATATGTTTCCTTTATTTAACTAGCTATTAAAAAATTGTAATCTATGAAAGGTATAGATTTTCTTCCTTAGCATAATTTTTAAGAAAATTCAATCACATGCTATTTTTCTTAGGAAATTTCAGTGTATTGTTTCCTTGATACTGATAGACCACATAGATTATAGTCTTGTATATTCTTAAAATCTATCAGTGATGATTTCCTTAAATAATTTGCTTTGCCTCTCTATGAAGTAGTAAAATAACCATGTGTTTTAAGTGAATTTCTAGAGTAATTAGGTTCCTTAATCTAAATCAATATATGTGTGACCATGTATGACAGTAAAAATTCCTAATTCAACAAGTATTCTTATTGTCCTCATATGCCTATATTGATAGCAAATGGGAAGATCTTACTTCATAATGATGTTTGTGATTTTCTATTACATGAGCTATATTATTACATTGGGGTAATAATATAAGATACTGTCCTCAACACCATATGAAGATAACTGTGACAGCTATCTTTATAACTAGATTAACAAATATTTGAGATTTCAATTTTATTTGCTTCAAAGGGAGAAGCTTGTCAATATAAATGTAAGATATATACCCACCCACATGAATAATTTCCGTATTACATATGCCAAGATGGTAATTTTGGGACAATAGCATATCTTATTTTAGAGGAAATATGTTGAACATATATAGTCTAAAGTAGGAACAATGTAGGTGTTTTTATCTGGAGGTTATTGATTTGTTTCCTATAAACCTTGTTAAAAGAAAAAAAAAATCAAATTAGTAAGTGAAAGTGTAAAGTAAAATAAGTCTTCAAAATGGAATTTAATATTTTCTGTTTCAAATATTATCCCTTCATTGATTTTGAAATTTATGATTACCTTTTCAAAGTATTAACATGTTAATATATAGACAAATTCAAATTTCATTGCTATGTAGAATCTTTAACATTTGAGAATTGACAATGTAGATTTTTTTGTTTATTTGAATCTTGCTATTATCCAATCACTTTGTGCTTATGGTATTAATGTTGTTGTTGTTAAGCATCTTCGAGTTGGTTCTGACTCAAAGTGACCATGCAGAGGGGTTCTGAGGCTTTTTTAAAATCTTTGCAGGAGCAGAAAGCCTCATTTTTTACCACTATGATATTAATATTCTTGCCTAAATTTCATTATCTGAAAAGTATCATCATTAGGAATTTCTTTTTTTCATGTGAACAGTAAATCACTGGTGTAGAAGACAAAAGAAAAGTAGCACCTCCCAAGTAGCCTCAGGGATTCCATTTTTAACTATTGCAGGGGGAAAATGATGGGGGGCAGAACACTATCTTTCTCAGTTAAGATATGATTATATATGATTTGCTTTTATTATACTATGCATGTTATCTGAGCCAAGAAATCATTCTTTTTCCATTAAGTAGAGGATTACATAGAGAGTGATTTTGCATTTCATTTTCTAATCATCTTTATTGGTTCTAATTTTCTCTTGTGACGTTAAATATAAAGAAGATATTTATTTTTAAACAAATTCACCAAAGTACTCATTTGTACCTTCAGAAAATTAAAGTCTTCATATACAGAGTCTAAAACATGGCCATTATAAACTGCTATTGTTGTTAAGTGCCATTGAGTGGGTTCAGACTCATAGCCACCCTGTGTAC